GGTCTCTGCCCGCCCCTGGCCCACGCTGGCCCAAGGCACGCACTGGGGCCCCAGGCCGACGACCACGATGGACATGAGGCCTGCGAGGAGGAAACCCAGCCGCCCTCGCCCGACAGTCCTCACCACCCCAGCAGGTGCGACCGAGCGCCCTCCGCTGCCGGTGGCGCCCGCGCCGGCGGCGCTCGGTGCGTCCGCCTGGTTCTCGAGAGTTTTCTTGGGGAGGCTCCCGCGGGCCGCCGGCCACCCCGTGCCGCCGCCCGCTGCTGCTGGTCGCGCTGCACGCGCTGTGCTGGCACTCTCTGGCGCGATCCGCCAAGGACGAGAAAGAGGAGGAGGAGGAGGAGGAGGAGGAGGAGGAGGAGGAGGAGGAGGAGGAGGAGGAGGAGGAGGAGGAGGAGGGACGACCCCTTCCTCCGAGCCCTGTCCGAGGAGGTTATGCCAGGCCGTTGCCCCTGTCACCTCTGGCCGGGCTGCTCTCCCCGGGCCACCGCGGCAGGGGCTGGGGCCCCGCCCCCGGGCCCCCCCCCCCCTCTCCGCGCGCCTGCCTCGCCCCGGTCCCGCCCTCACGCCCGTCCCTGCCGCGTCCTCGGGGGGGGAGGACGGGCCGCACCGCGGTGACGCCCGGCGCCCCTGGCGTGGCGGCCGCAGGCCCAGCGGGGCGGCTGCTCGACCACGCCAGGGGCGTGACCGCGGCCCGAGGGCCAGAGTCCCGACAGCAAGTCCGAGTACGCAAGTCTCCTCTGCCTCCTCCCCCCTCCCCCCACCCTCCCCTCTTGTTCCTCCTTCCTCTCTCCCTCCTTCCCCCCCCTCTCCCTCCCCTCTCTCTCTCTCTCTCTCTCTCTCTCTCTCCCCCCCTCCCTCTTCGCCCCCCCTCTCGTCCGCGGATGGCGCCACATCGGCATCAGCAGCGCCTCGGATCGAGCCCGAGGGGCAGCTGCTTGCCGATGACGACGCCGCTGTCTGGTGCATCCCCACGAGGCGAAGGTCTTGAACATGTCTCTTTACCGCCAACGCGCTGATACACAGACCGTTTTGAGTTCAGGAAGGAGGAGGAGGAGGAGGAGGAGGAGGAGGAGGAGGGAGGAGGAGGAGGAGGAGGAGGAGGAGGAGGAGGAAGGAGGGGGAGGAGGGAGGAGGGAGGAGAGGAGGAGGAGGAGGGAGGGAGGGAGGAGGGAGGAGGGAGGAGGGAGGAAGGAGGGAGGAGGGAGGGGGAGGGAGGGGAGGGAGGGACAGGGAGGGAGGGAGGAGGGAAGGAGGAGGGAGGAGGAGGAGGAGGAGGAGGAGGAGGGAGGGGCTCGGGTTTCCTGGCCGCCAGAGGACCTGCCAGTGGCCGTGGCCCGCCGTGGCCAGCAGAGCCCCCCCCGCCGTGGTTCTCTTTCTCGCGCCCCCGATGGTGGCGCGATGGCTGTGCTTCCCTGCCCCCCCTCCTCCTCCTCCTCCTCCTCCTCCTCCTCCTCCTCCTCCTCCTCCTCCTCCTCCTCCTTCCTCCTCCTCCTCCTCCTCCTTCCCCTCCTCCTCCTCCTCCTCATCCTCCTCCTCCTCCTCCTCCTCCTCCTCTATTCCTCCTCCTCCTCCTCCTCCTCCTCCTCCTCCTCCTCCTCCTCCTCCTCCCCTCCCCTGCGCGCGGCACCGCTCGCCGCTGCCCCCCCCGCCGCGCCGCGCCTTTGGTCGCCACGCCCGATGGCGGCAGAGCACAGAGAGGCGCTCCAAAGCATCGCTGCCTGGGAGGCTCGAGCTCCCGACCTCGATGCACACTCGCACCGCCCCTCTCACCTCCCCCCTCCCTCCTCCTGACCCATTTCCCCTCCCCCCCCTTCCCCTTCCCTCCCGTTCCTCTTTCCCTCCCCCTTTTTCCCTCCCCCTTTCCCTTTCCTCTTTTCCCTCCTCCTCCCCCTTTTCCCTCCCCTCCCTCGTGTCCAGATGGAAAGAGGCGCGCAGAAGCGAGCTGGCCCTCCCTGCCCGCGCCCTCAGGTGCGGCCTCGCGACCCCGCGCAGCTGAGCCTGAAGACCCTGGGGGGGGGGGGCCTGGAGACCGATTTTGATCCCCTGGCGATGCCAGGCGTGATGTGGGGGGAGGGAGGGGATCGGAGACCATCACAGGCGCTGTCGCGGGAAAAAAACGGTCTCCTGACACTTGGGCGGCACGAATGGCTTGCCAGACTTCTCGGGAGCCTCATTGATGGGCCTGCTAAAACAAGTGCGGGGTTTAACAAAACAGGCTCGACAGCCCTGGACGCATGTTTGTTTCACGGCGTGTCTTTTTCAACGCGTCGGATGAGTGGAGGAGGGGGAGGAATCATAAAGACAATAAGAGTGCGCGAATGGGCGAGCAGGAGGAAGAGTGGGATATTGAGAGGGTTGCGGGCGTCGTGTCGACCATCGGCGACCCCGCCGCCGGCGTTCAACGCTGAACGCCGCCTGCGACCCAGAATCGGTCGATGTTGAACGATTTGACGTGTCGGAAACGACCGGCTGTTCAAGATTGAACATTCCTAGCGATTTCAGAAACCAGCGCCAAAGATGGGCGCGACATGAACCTGCCGTATAGGGAGGGTTAGGTTATAAGAAGGCGAGGGCGGAGAAGGACGGGGAGGATGCGAAATGAGGATCGGTGATCGGTGCTTTATCCATCCCCCCGCTTCGAAGACGAACGAATTTCGTACAGATAAATAACAGCCAGCCTGGACCCCATACAGTTTAGGTATTGCAAGATGTGTTGTGCAATATACGTGGTGCAAAATATGTGATGCAATCTTTGTGAGGCAACATATGTTGTGCAGTCCACGTGCGTGGAGCAACATATGTGGCGCAATTGCTTTTCCCATGAGTTGACACATCCCATGTTCTTGCAAACATCCCACCCACCCACCCGCAACTGGGTTTGCAAAACCCATGCGGTGACGATTGCGATGCATGCTTGGCGTTGGCTGGTGCATCTCCGCGGCCGCGCCAACCCTAGCACGCGCACGCAGCGGCCAGCTAGTTTGGCGCTGCCGACGCGGCCGCGGTGGCGATGACCGCTGGGCGCATCCTAGCGGGCATTTCACTGCGAGTCGGCGATTTGGGCGGGCGCGGTATCATGGCAACGCCGACTACGGTAGACGCGATGATGGTAGTAACGATGTTGGTGACGATGTTCGCACCGACGAAGGCGCGGCCAGTGCGGGCGCCGATGCTGATCACGCCGGCGACGATGACGGCGTCATCGCGTTGGCGATGGAGGTTTTGGAAAGAGTTCGACATGCGCGCGCGGCCGACGCGCGAAAGTGGCCCGCATGGTATGTTTTGACACGGATCGTGCCCCCCAGCACGCGCGCACGGGCGTGTTAATGATGTCGGCATGCGCCGCCGGAGGCCCGACTGGCAGAATGCCATGCGTATGTTGAAAAACCCGCTGGTTTTCGTCAGAATCCGCAGGAGCGCGCGCGAGAGTTTTTTTTGAAAGTTAATGTTGCGAAGCCTTGTGTGTTTGAATGTGTTTTGGACATTCGGTTTTGAACTCCTTACGAAACCGAGATCTTTTGCAGGATTTCGACATGCGCGCGCGAAGCCCATTTGGTAGCATTTACCGTCTGACAAGATTGAAGCAGTTGTGGTTTCTCAAGGATTCGCAAGAGAGCGCGCGCACGTTCTGTTATAGATATGTGTGTACTTGAAAATCTGAGTGGCAAAAACATGCGTGTTTATATGTATTTGGGACATTCGGTTTTGAAATCCTTCCGACACCTACGGTTGTTGAAAGAGTTCGGCATGGGCGCGCGACGACGCGCGTGTGTGCACCTCGTCTTTTTGTCCCCACGTGTTTCGTGGCGTTATGGTTTTCATCCCTGCCGCGTCGCACACGCGTCTCCCGCGCACGCACACGCAGTTCCCCTCCCTCCTCCTTCCTCCCCTCCTCCACGTCCTTCCTTCCTTAACCCACACGCAACCCATGCACGGCACGTACATCAGACATGCGATCACATGCAGCCTAACGCATGCACACACTCGCACACACACAACATATACCATACAACGCTAGTGCACGCCTGGCGTGTTCACTGCATCAAGACGTATGCACCACATACTCGACACCCACATGAGACACAAGTCCAGATACTGCCGCACGCGCATCATACACATACACATGACACGCCATACACAAAACACACGTGTAGAATGCGCAGGGCACGGCCGACGTGGCACTATCTCGCCACTAGAGGAGGTGCGCAGGGGGTGATCCTTCAGCGCGGTCTCTATACGCTCCAATGTCGGGGGCCTAGCAGGCGTGGCACTTTCTCGACACTGTAAAGGGGTGCGCAGGGGGTGGTCCCTCAGCGCGGTCTCAATACGCGCCAGTGTCGCAGGGCCTAGCAGGCGTGGCACTTCCTCGACACCAGAGGGGGTGCGCAGGGGGTGGTCCCTCACCGCGGTCTCTGTACGCGCCAATGTCGCAGGGGCTAGCCAGTGTGGCACTTTCTCGATACCAAAGGGGGTGCGCAGGGGGTGGTCCCTCAGCGCGGTCTCTATACACGACAATGTCGCAGGGCCTGGCCGGCGTGGCGTTCTCTCGACACCAGAGGTTGTGCGCAGGGGGTGGTCCCTCACCGCGGCTTCCATACGCGCCAATGTCGCAGGGCCTAGCAGGCGTGGCACTTTCTCGACACCGTAGGGGGTGCGCAAAGGGTGGTCCCTCAGCGCGGTCTCTATACGCTCCAATGTCGCAGGGCCTAGCAGGCGTGGCACTTTCTCGACACCGTAAGGGGGTGCGCAGGGGGTGGTCCCTCAGCGCGGTCTCTATCCGTGACGGTCGTCCAGGGCACGGCAGGCGTGGCGTTTTCTCGACACCACAAGGGTGCGCACGGGGTGGTCCCTGACCGCGGCCGCTATCCGTGACGGACGGCCTTGCCCTAGCAGGCGCGGCATATTCTCGACACCGCCAGGGGGTGCGCACGGGGAGCCAGCGTTGCGTAGGCGAGCAGTTCTCGTCGTCCTGCTCCTGCTCTTGCATGCGCTGCGCCGAGAATGGCGGAGCATTAGCCGGGAGGCCCAGGTGGGCAGATGGAAGCCATGAGATTGAGGACAGCAAGCTGCCGGTGCTTGTTAGTCGCCTGTGTGCTGGCCGAGCGGGTTGGGAGCCCCGAGCGGACAGGCAAGCTCGGGATACGTGATACAGTCGCGCGGTGATGAGTGGGCTGGCCCTTCCACATCGAGTGTGCCCTCGCTCCCTGTGTTCCGCGACGCACGGTCTCCGCATTCCTGGGGGGGGGGGCGTGGCCCTCGGAGGAGTCTCGTGCCCTCTCGCGCGCCCTTCCAAGTCACACCCGACTGCATAAAGCAAGAACGCAAGCCGCTGGGTCCTGCTGTCCGTCGATGCGCTGGCCAGGCGGGCTGCGCGGCAGCAGTGGGGCAGTTCCGGTGGCCAAGGGAGCCAGCGGGGGCCGCTGGCCACGGGGGCCAAGCGGGCAGGGCCGCTGGCGCCTCTGGTAGTCCAGGTTTCGTAATAAAGGGAAGGGGGTCTCATTTCGGGGGGGGGGGTCTCTTCCAGGCTATCTTGGAGGGCCTGGGGGGTCTGGGGACGATGTTTTGGAGGGTTCTCCCACGGGGGAGGTCTGAAATGGCTTGCCTTGGAGGGTCCAGACCCCCTCCCTTTTATTACGACATCTGGAGTACTTGTTTTTGCTTATGCGGCCTGTTGCAGGCGTCAGGGCTGCGAAAGCCAAGGGCTGACGCGAACATGGGCACTGCCAAAGCTGGCAGCGCCCGAAGACCTTCCCGGGCGGCCCCCCCCACTCCAGTGCTAGGCAGGCCCTGGCCGGGCAGGCTCGGAGTCCAAAGTGGGCAGGCAAGCCCGGGAGCCATGGGGCACAGGAAGACAAGCTGTTGGGGCCGCCTTCGCATACAGTCGGGGCCCTGAAGAAGGAACCCTTTTCGTTGGGGAGGGGCTCGGTGTTCCTTGATTGGGCTGCAGTTTGCCTTCTGTTTTCCTGAGGTTTTCCATGGGAAAGCGAAGTTCAACTTATGGGAGAAAGGGGCCCCGTTCCTTATTTAGGGTTCCTTATGTCAACGCCCCGACTGTATGCGCTGGCTGGGCGGGCTGGGAACGCAACGTGGGCCGTGCATGGGCTGGGGAGTCATAGTTGAATGAAGGGAGCTTCTCCAGCATGTCTTCACGTATGCGTTGGCCAGGCGGGCTGGGAGTCCGAAGTGGGCAGGCAAGCCTGGAGTCATGAAAAGCAGGAAAGTAAGCCGTCGGGTGTCGTTTTCGCAACGTGGATGGCCCGCGAGGGGGCACTTGGAGTGAACTCCTGGCAGCTACGCTGGTCGCGCAAAGTGCCCTTGCAGGGAGCTGGCACACTTGGAGCGAGCTTCCTGGCAACATCGCTGGTCACACGATGTGCGTTTCGATCGAGCGGGCACTTTCGGAGGAGATTTCATGGCCGACGTCCTGGCAGTGACACTGGCAGCGCGATGGCTGGTTGGAGCGAGCGGGCACATTTGCAGTGTCCAAGCAACGATGCTGATCGCGCGATTTGTCTCATCCGCGAGCGGGCCCGATCCAATCTACTCTGGCCCCATGTGGGAGGCCTCCACAGGAGAGGAGGAGGAGGAGGAGGAGGAGGAGGAGGAGGAGGAGGAGGAGGAGGAAGAGGAGGAAGAGGAGGAGGAGGAGGCGGAGGAGTACGATCCCCGAGCCTCCGTTCGCCTTCCACGGCCCGAGCGGCGAGGACCCTCCCCGTAGACGAGTGCTTCGACGACGACGCGACGGTCCGGTTCAGCGCCAGGTCGATGGGCATGGGCGAGCGTGTCACCTGCCAGCAGGCCGTTGCGGAGGGGCGCTCCCCTCATCTCGGCACGAACGACATGGGTACACGCCGGTCGTTGGAAGTAGGTATTTTGGGATTCCCAGGTCTCAATTTGCTTCAAGCGCCTTCCTGCTTCAAGAACCGACGCGCTATTGCTGTGTCTTGTTGTTCTCTGGGAGGACCTGGACCCAATCCACTATATCCGCCTTCCTACTTCATGTTTTTACCTACTTCTTCCGACCGACGTGGACGGAAAGAGTGGGTACAATGCCCAACAGCAGTTCCCGTTCATTTTGAACTGGACTCGCTGTCTGTGCCGCGGCGTTCACTGCGGTGCTCGTAGGCATATTGTGGCGTTGGTAGAGGACCGCGGACGGAGGAGGGGGTTGGGACGAGGTAGGAGGGGGGGGAGGAGAAGAAGGAGAGGAGGGGAAAGAGGAAGAGGAGGACGAGAAACTGGAGGAGCAGGAGGAGAACGAGGAGAGGGGGAGGATGCGTAGGAGGAAAATGAGGAGAAGAACGGGGCAGGTTAGGAGAAAAGGGAGGAGCAGCAGCAGGAGGATTGCACGCCCATAGGGGGGAGAAGAGAGAGAGGGGTCCGACGGGTCCAAAAACACCCAAGGGGGCCCATCGGAGAGGACCTTTTTGTCACCACGGTGCGGCTCGGACAGGCAGCGCACCGTGGGCCAGCGACAGGGCCCCCTTAGGTAAAGTCATCGTCGAGCTCGACCACAGCAGGTCGGACACGCAACTCCCTTCCGAGCTCACGGGCCTCCGCCTCATTGAGCCCGAAAGCCTGGAGACAGTCAGCCATGCAGAGAGAGGCGGCTCCCGAAAACTGCTGGGCCCTCGAAGCCCTACTCGTCGGCTGGGACCCCCAACCTCCGACCAGGAAACGAGAACCGAAAAGCTCGCGAGCCAGGGCCCCAGGAGATCTCGGGGGTCCCAGCCGCCGCGCCCGATTCGGGTGCTTGAGCTTCACGAAACTCGACGTGTTCTTTTTGCCAGGGCCGACCAGCGAGTGAGCCGAGCCCTGGCATCCAGCGTGCAAGCCCCTGGAGCCTGTGGCCACAGTTGCATAGCTGCCACAGGTGGAGCAAAATAGGAGGGGGGGGGCTCCTCTCCCTCCTCCGTCGACTCCACAGGAAACTCAAGCAGGCAGTGGCCCCCCTCCTTCCACGGCTGCGTGCCTTCGGGCGCCCTGTCAAGGAATCTCTCCAGCGAGGCGGCAGCCGCAGGGTCGGGGGCCGTCGGGACCTCGCCGCAAGGGGGGGGCGCAGCTGCCTCGTCCTCGGCCCGAGCCCACTCGAGCCGAGCGTCGTGGTCCGAGGGGAGATCCCGGGAAACCAAAGACAGGCCCTGGGCACCTACATTGTCGTAGACCCCGAGCTCACTGTAGTAGACTTCCGCACGCGTTATAAACTGCAACACCTCTCGGGCCAGGAAAAGGCAACCCTTAGCCAAGAGGGTGTCACATTCATCGTGCTGGGCAAGCGAGGCCCCCAACTTGGCCAGCCTATCAGCACCATGGTTGCCAGTGCGTTCGAACTCAGACAGAAGGCCGTCTCTGACATCCTGAGCCGAGGCGTGAGCAGGAACCTTCTTAAACCTGGCCCCCTCAAGGCCTCCCGAAGCCCAAGACTGAGACCAGAGGTGGGCCCTGGGGTTAGCAGAGGAGACCGAGCGCGCTCTGTTTTTGCAACAGTCAAGCGTGCCATTGCAATCAGAGTACAGAGTGAAATCGCCTGCACACAGCTTTGAGACGATGAAAACACTATAGTCCTATTGAGCGGTCGCCAAAAAAGTTCTGCGCGCCAGGCCTTGCCTGGTCCTATTTTTGCCCGAGGCCGCTATGTCTAAAAACCTTCGCGCCGAAAAGCGCGCTCGCCTGGCCATGAAAGCGGACGAGACCTGAGTCAGGTCCCACACTTGCCCCTGGGCCTCCTGCACCAAGAACGGTCCCTGGAAGACAAACCCGATCCTCAGGCAGGTTAAGACCAGTGCGGCCACGGGGTCCTTGACCAGGGTCCAGGGTTTCGGCCTCTGGGCGACCTCCTGGGCCTTAGCAAACAAAACTGAAAGGGCACGCTCAGACAGCCTGCCATCCTTGAGAATCTGAACATACGTCTTGATCGCGTCAGCAGAGACCTGCACCAAAGGATCTCGCGACCAACCCCCACGCGTACACATCGAAGCCAACCCGAGCGAGCATCCTTTGGGCAGCCTCCCCTCGGCTTTGACAGCCGCAACTCTTAAACTCTTCAGCTTTCCATCAGGCAGCCCCTGGATGTTGGCCCCCCAGAGAGCCTTGGCGGTAATCCCAGCCCGAAAAAATCCCCCCGTCGGGGCACCAGCCTCGCGGAGGCTGAGGACCCTGGCCACCTTGGCCTGGGCCTCTAGGAAACGGGCCTGGTGGGTCGACACTCGCCGCCTTGCCCCGTCCGTCGCGTCCCCTCCAAGGTCGCGGTGGACAGATGACCTGGCCTCTACAGGGAGCTGGCAGCACGATGCAAGCTGGTTGGCCAGGGAGGCTGACGACGCCAGGAGCCCAAGCTTGTTCCAGGCAGTCGGGAGGCCCCTAGCCTGGAGATCTTTGGTGACCAGGTTGAAAGCCGACGAAAGCTCAGTGCACACCGTGGCCTGGCCTCCGATGGACTGAAACGAAACATCATCTATGACGCTTTTCAGGGTGACCGTTGGGCACGTCGAAACCACTCTGCGCAGCACCGACGCGAGCAACAGGCGAGCGAGCGAGGTGGCCCCCGAACAGCCAGCAATGACGGAGCCATTCGGCGAGACGATCCTGGAGATCGCCCCCCTGCCAAGATACCCGCCTCGGGGAACGGCACACCGTGCAATAAGCCCTCAAGAGGGCCTTCGGAAAGGCCACCTGCTCAGCTGCCGCTAGCAGTTCGGCGTGGCTGATATGCTCGTAGAATTTGCGAAGGTCGAGAAACAACGTACCCGGAACTAAACCTCTAGTTTCCCGAGCAAAAGCAGCCATGGCATTGTGAACCCAAGCGCTCTTGTCACAAGCAGTGGACGTGCTCATCCCCAGAAAAAGGGGGCGTCCAGCTCCCTTTCCCGCGCCGCGCATCTGGCATGCCGAATCCTGCTCCAAACTCGGGCCCAGAGGGGGGGGGGCCGATAGGCCTGACCCCCCCCCCCCCGACGGTTTCGGAAGAAACACGATCACGACGAGCCACAACGGGCCCACCGAAGGGTCCCGTTCCCAGGCCGTGAGGAGATCGGCGAAGGCCTTGACGAGCGCGGGGGGGGACCTGCAGGAGGAGCTGGGGGTGAAAAGAATCCCACCCCAGGCCCGTGCCCGGGGGAAACGACTTGGCTGCCGCCAGGACCTCCTCCGAGGTAATCGGCGGCAAGCTATCTTCGCACTTCCAGTCCCAAGGCGGAGGCTCGCCAGCTCGATTATCTTTGCACCAGATCGGCAACCACTCTTGAAGGGTCCGCTGCAGTGCTGCATCGCCTACTAGGGGAACACGATCCCCTTCCTGCTCCTCAGCAAAAACGGGCTGGGGAGGCGCCGAGGGGCCCTTCGAATACCTGTGAGCCACCAGCCCCCCACCAACGACAGACGACTGCGCCCACAACCTCCACTTCTGGCGCCCCTCAGCCGCCTCTTGGGGCACGCGCTTAGAAATTTCGGCCTGCAGCCAATTCACAACCTCAGCCTTTTGATCACAGGCTAGCAGGCTTCTAAACAGAGAGTCAACCGTAAAACCTCTGAGCTGCTCTACCTCAGCACTTTGCAGCAGGTGGCCAACGGCGCCAGCCTTGGCCAGCAAGCACTCACGGTCCTTCGCCCTACGCATGTAGAGCATCGCCAGCCTCCTGACAGCGAGCCAGTTCTGCGTGTGGACCGAGCAGCGCTGGTTGAGGTCCTGACCCCAGGCCGCCTGCAGAGGAACCTTCTGGATCTGGCAGCCCGACGACCTGCCTGCGAATCCCCTTGCTTGTCCAAGACCATGCAGCTTGACCAGCTCCGCCTCGGCCGCATCGAACCACTGGGCAGCGGCCTCCATGGGCCTGTCCAAGTCGAAGCCGTATGTCTGGCCTCCCTCAGGCGTGACGAACATCCGCTTCTCCTCGTCCGTCCGTGCCAAGGGAAAGGCCTTCGGGACAATCCGCTTCCACACCTTCGCTGCCCCAGCAAGGCCCTTCAGGCGGAGGTGCACCGACGAGTGGGGTCCCGTGGGCGTGTCGGGCCACTCCCGAACCTCATCGATATGGTACTCCAGGCATCTGCTGATCACAAATAAATCGTAGCATTTGTCGTGGCAAGTTGGCCCAGGCGGCCGAACTATTGTCACTCCCAAGTGTTCGCACCACCTGGACTCTCGCAAAACTTCCGCATCGATGTTCCAGTCCCCAGCAATAAGCACAGGTAGGGGTGTCGACGAGGCAAGCTCGCTGAGCTGAGCCAAAAACGTGAAGTTCTCCCCCGAGAGGCCAATCTGCGTGTGGCCGTAGACCGAGATCGCCAAGAGCTGCACCCGATCTGAGAGAACCAGTCCCCTGGCACACATCCTTTCCGACGTGAGCTCGTGCACCACGTCCGACGCTCCAAACCTGGCCGAGGTCAGCGCTGCAACTCCTCCCGAAGTCGCGTTGTCGGCCAAGCCCGTCGAGGCAGCACACGAAAAGGTCGAGGTGAAACCAGCCTTGTACGCCCATGCACGTGGCCCCACCTGCTGGGCCTGTGTCAGCCTCGTCTCCTGGAACAGCCCGATGTCGAACGTGGTAGCCCGAGGCCCTTCTTTGGCCCATTCCAGGAACTTGCGGGCCGTTGCCCAGGCGTTGCTATTGTAGGTGACGACGTTGAGAAACGGGTCAGCCTCGTGCCACGCCGTCGCGTTCTCCAGTGTCGAGGCTCTTCCCCGATGGTCGGTACTGCCCTCCCCAGTTGCCGAAGGCCGCGGAGGACAATGCGTGCCATCGGGGCCGGCTGCGTGGCGACGACACTGCCCGCTAGGGGCGCCTCTGGGTCGACCCTGTGGCTGGCCCCCTCTTGGGCACAGCGGCGCGGCGGCGGCAGGTCCCCAGGATGCTGGAGCCTCTGCGGCGGCGGCGCTCAGGCTGGCCGAAAGAGGGGATCGTGCCGATCTGAGTCCCCCATGTGGCTGGGCCCCCTCTGGCACCAGCGGCGCGGCGGCGGCGGGCCCCCAGGGTGCTGGAGCCTCCGCGGCGGCGGCGTCACGGCTGGCACCTGAGGGGGCCTGTGCCCCAGCCGAAGACGCCCTTCTCGTGGCCCTTGCCCCAGAGGGAGATGCCGAAGCCATAGAACATGTGGTTCCCGAGCCTGGGCCTGGCCCAGGCGGGCCGCTTCGCGCCGCTGGGCCCAGCTGAACAACGACGCTCTTGATCAGGGAGCTTGCCCCCTCAGGCCGAACTCGTGGCCTGAGGGGGCGGCGGGCGACAGATTCTGGCTGCTCGCTGCTTGAGCCCGCCACCAGCACCCGCTCCTGCAGCTGGCGCCGCGGGCGCAGGCAGAGGGGCCTCCGAGGAGGCAGCTGCCCCAGCGCCTTCGGAAGGCGGTCCAGCAGCAGCAGCAGGCGCCGCCTCAGGGCCAGGAGCCGCGGCCGCAGAGTCCTGCCGCCTGCGCTTGCCCGCCAGGCGAGCCGCCATCTGCTCCTGCTCGATCTTGAAGGCCTTGGCCTTCCCCGCCGCCTGGCCGAACATCGCCTTGACTGCCGCCGCCAGCTCGGTCTGCAGGCGAGCGGTTCGTTCTTCCAACTCTCGCTTGTCCGAATCTTCCATATCATACTCTGCATCGTCGAAGCCCAGGCCAGCGAAGGACAGCGGAATCGACTCGATCGTGCCGTCCAAGATGCCAGCCACGCTGAGTGCCTGAGGCGGAGCTTGCTGCGGCGGCACGTACGTCTCCTTGAGCTCCACCACCAGGCGGCAGTGCTCCTTCTCGCGCTCCTCGAGCTCGGCAGTGAGCTGTTGCACCCAACTGCGCTGCTGCTCAAGCCCCTCCTGCAGCCGCTCGAAGTGAGCCACCGCCTTCTCAAGCTTCTGTCTGACCTCAGCCGCCTGCCTGTGGGCCGTGGTGACCCTCTGAGACAGCGGGGCCACGTACGCCTTCTCAGCCTCCTTGCGGCGCCTCTCAGTGAGGGTGCACTTGTGCTTCGCCGCGCTGGCCACGTCACCCGCGCGCTCCAGCATCGCCACCAACTGCTCCAGGTCTCCGATGTCCATTTCGCCGCCTTCCGACTGGGCCACCATGAATTGGGCTCCTGGGGCAAGGGGCAGGGCCTGACCGCCGACGGCAGCGTCTGGGCCCTTGCCCCCTTTGCCCTTGCGCCCCTTGCCTTTCTTGCCACCTTTGCCTCCGTCTCCTTGCCTTGCGGCGTCAGCCCAAACTCCGCCAGGCTCGGGTGGTGCAGTCGGGGCAACGTCGGACAACTTGTGGCCACAGGCTCTGCAGAAAAAACTTCCACGAACATCTTCTTGCATCCGCACTTCGCGCAAGCAGGAGCTTTCCCGACCTCCTTCCAGCCTTCAGAGTCTCCTGGGCCCATGTCGCGCCACTCCCTCCACTGCCCCACCCAGGGCGGGGGAGCAGACTTCCTCCACGGGGGCCTGACAGCAGCGGCCGCGGGAGGAGCCATGGGGCGAGCAGCAGGAGGCAGATCCTGCGGGGACTCGAAAGGCACGCCGTATTAAGTAGAGTGCTCCACCAGGAGCTCACAAAGAATCTGAACCAGCAAAACTGGTGCAGGATCACGGGGGGGGGCGCGCCTCCCCCACGCCAGTAGACTCCTGTCCAGAGCGAAACGCTACGGACTTGAGCCAAAATGGCTACGGACGCAGCAGCAGGAGGAGGAGGAGGAGAAGGAGGAGGAGGAGGAGGAGGAGGAGGGGGAGGAGGAGGAGGAGGAGGAGGAGGACGAGGAAAGGAGGAGGAGGAGCAAGAGGAGAAGGATGAGGAGGAGGAGGAGGAAAAGAGTCGGGGAGGCGGTCAAGTCCGTGGGGTGCGAGTATGTGGCCGGAAAGTTCACCGACATCGGCGGCGTCGAGCGCGAGGCCCCGGCTCCCGCCACTTCCAGTCCCTCGAGGTCGTTCCCGTCCCGCCGCCAGCGCCGCCGCCACCGTCGTCGTCGTCGTCGTCGTCCCGCTCCTCCCCGTCCCCCCTCCTGCTCCTCGTCCTGCTCCTCCTCGTCGTCTTCCTGCTCCGCCTCCTCCCCATCCTCCTCCTCATCCTCCTGCTCCTCCTCCTCCTCCTCCTCCTCCTCCTCCTCCTCCTCCTCATCCAGGTGGTTGACGCGTGGCATGCATACTGTTGCGCCCGATACCGTACGAGCCGCCAGGCCAGAGCGCATTCTCCCAGCGCCTGGTTGACCACTCAGCGCTTCTTCGAGCCAGAACAGTCGCCGCTCTCGCTCGCTCGCTTGGCATCGGCGTTTGTGGAAGACGCGACAGCGGGCTCGACGTTTCTCGAGGCAGTCGCTCGTGAAGCAGTCCAGGCGCATCGCGGCTCTGACATGCCAGGAGGAGAAAGACCGTCAAGGCCGTCGTTGGCCGTCCCTGGGAAAGGAAAGAGTCGTGTCACGAGGGACCCAAGGTGGGCGTGCAGCGCGACGCGCCAATGCAGGGTACTCTCAGAACCTTGCCAGCAATAGTCAGGGCTTTCGTCGCGGCCGTGGTAGGAGCGGGAAGTTGGACCCTAGTCTTGTGCCCAGGGAAGGTGCTCACAGGAAGCGTGCTCAGTCCAGAGGTCTTGGCAATGTAGAGTCGTTGGCAGGGAGCTCAGGCACGGACGGCAACACACCAGTCGATGAAGTTGTGCGTGCGAGAAGGGCAGGAGAAGCACTCAAGAAGATAGGGCTAGACGGCAGTTAGCCGTTGGTCCAAAGCCGATTCGGTGAAGGCGGAAAGTCGTGAGCATGCAACCAGGTCCCCAGACGACTTATTCTGGCGCGCGCTGGACAGGCAGACCGCAAAGTCGAAGGTGGTTGAAGAGTTGCAAGTCACATTCACGGAAGTGTCCGAGCTGTTGAAGAACAAACAGGGAGCTTTGGACGCAGCTACCAGTGAGTTGGATCAGATTAAGAAGGAGGTTGTCGTGGTTAGAGCTGCTGGTATGGTGGTTGTTTTAAGTACTGGTATTGCGGCAGCAGGAGCGGCTGAGCTACGTGATGCGTTGGCGAGGCTCCAGAACATCATCAGCAGCAGCCCCAGGAACCCCGCCAAACAAAAACATCTCAATCATGGTAGCTGTTTTTCGTTTTGTTGGGGGGGGGCCACTGGTCCCCTCAGCACCACCAAAAAATCCCCCCTGCAGTTTTTCCCAGCCATCCTTTGGTGTTGGGTCCTCGTTTTGAAAGGACAGTGCTCCGCGGTCATCTCCTCTCCTCCTGTTTCCCCCACCTTCCCTCCTCCCATCCCTTCCTCAGCCCTCCACATGCAAACGTCGACGCACATCTCACACTTTTCGTGATCCAATAGGGAGCTCCACCGAAGGCCCCAATTGCAGGGTTCGCATGCCGGCCCCGCCCCATTTCAGCGCACCCCTCACACGTTTCGTGGCCCCGTAGGGAGCTCCACCGACGGCCCCAGTGGCAGGGTTCGCATGGCGACCCCGCTCCATGTCGGCACACCCCTCACGCGTTTCGTGGCTCCGCATGGAGCTTCGCCAAAGGCTTCAGCGGCAGGGTTCACATGGCGGCCCCGCTCCATTTCGGCACACCTCTCACACGCTTCGTTCAACAAGAAGCTCCATGGCCGATTGCCTCCACAGAGGTGGTGCAGGCCATCAGCGACAAGGCACGGGCCGCCATCGAGCCATGGCACCAGCTGTGGTCTAATGGTCAAGGCATGAAGGTGGTCGAGTGGCAAGACAACGACTTCGGCGGGACTTCGATCAGCCTCCCACGGTAGGGGAGGTGAGGAGAGTCGCGCACAGTTTCTCGGGGATCACGGGCTTGGGCTGCGACGTTGTGCATCCTAGACGCTTTGCGATTCTAAGCGGCCAGGCCGCCAAGGCGATCATATGCATTCGGGAAGGCATGCTACAACCGGGGCATGCACCGGTGGCGATCGCGACCATGAGGGGGGCCCTGCTGCCCAAGCCCGACGGTGGTCGACGTACGATTGGCATGTTTCCTGGGACGCTGCGGCCACCCACGCGATGGCTCCGACATGGTGACGGAGGCACCTGGCCTGGCGGACGCAGGCGTGACTGCGTGTATGGGGTTGGCGGTCAAGGCAACAGTTGCGAGGCATGTGTATGGAGGCGGCCTGCGCAGGCGGGGCACGCCTCGGCCCGAGGATGGACGGCAGCCTCTATCCTACTGGACTTCGCTGGGGCCTGCGGGCATACACGCTGGCGCCTCTTCGTGGCGAAGGCCAGGGCCATGTGCTTCAGCATGCTGCTGCGGATGCTGTTATGGTTATACAGCATGCCGCGCTTCTTGGGCTTCGAAGGCTAGGTCGTCGACGCGTTCCGCCCGTGGAACGGGGTGGTGGCAGGGTGCCCTCTTCGCTGACCTGATGAGAATGTTCCTGGTACCGATCTTGGATCAAGTTGCGGGCGTCCCGAACCTTGACTTCTGGCAACGTCGTGGACGACACCCAGTCGCAGGCCACGGGCTGAGAGGAGCGGGTAGCTGGTGCGTTGGCGAAGGCGTACGCGATGCAGATCTGGGCTGCTGGCGGACCATCTGGTGCTTAACGACGTTAGGGGCCATGTCGTCTCCAACAGACATTCCGCCGTGGAGGCACTGAGTCGGCGATGCCCGACGCTGAGGGGGCGCGAGGCCCGCTCGACCCGAAATCTCGGTCGTGACCTTGTGTGCGGCAAGAGGCTCGGCACGGCCACCCGTCGCAAGCGCTTCGGACGCGTGCAGGACGATGCACGAAGGTCCGAGCCCTCCGCCGCGCCCCAGGACGGTACACACGGTTAGTTTCGATGTGGATGCTGCCTGCGGGGGCTTGGGGGGAAGTCGTGACTGGGAGGGCGTGGGGGCAGGCGATGCAACTCCGCAAGGCGGCCCGAGCGGCCCTCTTTGTGCACGTGGCTCGTTGGTCACGGTCGCTCACGCTCGACCATGCGTTGTTGAAGCGAGACCCTGCCACGGTTGACCCAGCATGTGCGTGCAATGCCGGGCCCAATGCTTATGTTGGCCCAGGCTGTGTGGTCCCGGTGGTTCCCTCCTGATTGGATCCGTTTTCTGCCCAGCACGGCCCATAGGAGTTTCGCCCGAACCGCGGAGCCCATCGACCGAACCTGGTCGCTGGTCAAGGGCCCGATGTCAGCCGCCCTTGCATCCTGCCTTCGCCTGGGGTGGCCACGTGGGCCTGGCATCTGCAGCCTGAGAACGGCTCGGGGCGACGTGTCAGATTTGAGCGAGGTGTGCCCCCGATCGGTTCAGCAGATCGCGAGGCAAGGCGTGGAGGATTGGCTGATGCGTACGGCGCACGGAGGATGCCCCCACCTCTCCTCGCTCTCCCGCCCTACCTTTCTGGCCCCCCTTTCGGCACCTCTGCTCGCTGAAGCCTTCGGCCGGGACCGACCGGACGGCGTTGCACCAGGCCACGACGAGCTGCTTCGCTGCCAGCGGTTATTGGGACAATGTCAGCAACTTCCGAACAAGACTCGTCGGTAGGGGCGCCACGGCGAGGGTCCCAGCGGGGGCGCGCCGCTCCCCGCGCGGGGCCGAGCCCTACCCCAGAGGGGATGCAGCCATCGTGCTACCACAAGGAGCGGCGAGGAGGAGGAGGAGGAGGAGGAGGAGGAGGAGGAGGAGGAGGAGGAGGAGGAAGAGGAGGAGGAGGAGGAGTGCGAGCTGTGTGGGCTGGAGCCTGGGACGGTGGCGCACTGGCGTTGGGGGGGCTGTCCGCGCCCATGGGGCCACCGACGGGGACTGCCTGCTGCCGGCTTCACTCCGAGCGGGAGCGCGCGAGCGAAGTGATTGGACACTTTGGTGCAATGGTTAAGTCGGCCCTGTCCCGCTACAGGGGGGGTTTGGGGGAAAAATGAAAAAATACCCCAGACGTATTCCAAAATGATAAAAAAGATATTCAAACAATAGTCCCGAAACTATCTGTTATTAGATATTCTTTACAATGTTGGAGCATGTTTTGCGTATTTTTTTATTTGTCGTCGAAAATCCCCCTGTAGCGGGACAGGCCCGACTTGATGCAACGGCCTTTTGCCTGACCCCGTCGTTTGGTGTTTGGCCCCTACCTGGATCTGCAGGTGAGCTGGGAGGTCAGGCCCCCTGGAGGCTGCCTGGGGGCCGAGGCCTTCGGTGACGGGTCCCGTGGGTCCATCCTCGCTCGTGGCCCCGCCTGAAACGTGCTGGCTGGTCCGTGGTCCAGACTTCGGGAAGCGGCCTTGATGTCACGGCCGCTTTTTGCCAGCCCCTCCCTGGCCGTCTCCAGGACTCAGGACCTTTTGCATCTGATAGGGCCCACCCTGGTGGAGGGGAGGCTTGTTGATTGAGTACAGGATGTGTGGGGGGTGATGCTGACGGCGACTGTGCGACTGCAGGCATCCAGCCATGCTGACGCCGAAGGATACTCTGACAGTTTTAGAGCAAGGCGTTGCGAGGCCAAGCCTAATTCTGCCACCTTTCTTTTCCGTGCCCGATCTCGGGCGCGCTGTGAGTTGAGGGCGGTGGTCCCTCCGGCTGACTGGCTCTGCCAAGCACGTCTTCTGTTCTCGAGAGTCCTGTGGGATGAGCCACTTTCCAGCTTGCTCTTTTTCTCGTGGGGGGGTCCCCCCCGACGGGGGTGGGGTCAACCTCGCCTCGTCGTCGCGCCGCGACGGGGTTCGGAGCGCCTTCGGCGCGCGGTGGCTGCCCGCGACGGGGGTCGATGTGGGGCTGTCGGCGGCGGTGACGCCCCCCCCGACGCTGATTAAGAAACTCGGAGCAGGGGCTCACTCCCCCTGGGGTCGCTCTGCGGTCCTCGCCGCTACCGCATAGGGTCAGACAGTCGTCGGATAGGGATATCCCCCTGCGTGTTGCGGCTGAAGCCCCCTGGCCTCCAAAAACAGGATGTCCGCTCTCTTCTTCTCCTCCAAGAGCGTTCTG